CTAATATTGTTGTATGAGACCAGAACTTTTACTTTTGGCTTTTAAAATCTAATTCCAGTAACCATTGTGTTTTCCCCTTCTGGAACCAGATCAAGAAGGAATCAAGAAAAGAAAAACTTAGGTTGAAATATTCTCAAGTTAGAAAGGTCAAGTTTAAGAGATATACTTTAAAAACAATGATTTTGTTCTTTTTTAGAAGGCCTAGAATTTGAGATCTTTCTACCTCTGTTTCCTTCGTGTTAGGATTACAGGCCTTACATTAGCTTGCTGTGGTTTCTCTATACTTTTTTGCTGTTAAGATACTGTTGGAACACTCTGGTTTGAGGGGGGACAAAACTACTTTTAAGTCAACAAAAACCACAACTCATTGGTGTGGTTACTTGAGGATATCTTATTTAACAGTCTGTTTTCCCTAGTCTATGTGTAGGAAAGCCTAGCCTTACTTTAACCATCTGTGACCTGTTTTACTTCATTTTCCATTTCATGATTTAGTCTTAGTGAAAATTTCCTGGTTTTGTAAAACATCACAGAGTTGTTCACTCTTAATTTTAAGGAAAAAGTTTTACGTTTAATATTGTCTCCAGTTACCCGTTTAGATGTTCTGTTTGGTTCCTTGTTTTAAGCTTGGTTTTTGTTTTTGTTTTTTTGGGCGTAGGGGGTTTTATTATGTAGCACTGGATGGCCTGGAATTTACTCTGTAGACCAGATTGGCCTTGAACATAAAGAGATATGCCTGTCTCTCTCTGCCTGTTGAGTGTGTCTGTGTGTACTACCTTGCCTCACTCCAATTAACTTTTAAAGTTCCCCTTTCTCTTTAAGTTCAGAGTAATAAAATTTTAAAAAGGTTTAATGTATTTAGATGTTTCGTGTTCATGCATGTCTATGAAACCTGTGTGCCTAGTGCTTGAGAGGCCAGAGGGCCTGTATCTTCTGAGACTGGAGTTATATTCAGATGGTTGTGAGCCACCATGAGGGTGTTGGAAGTCGGACCTGGGCCCTCTAAAAGGGCAACAAGTACTTTTAACCAATGAGTCATCTCTCCAAATTCTAAAGCTTAAGTTTAAAAATATAAGTGAAATTATACAAAATTAATAAAAGTGAAAACATACTTTTGGCATAGATGTCGATATAGTTCCAGCTTAAGTGCCATCAACTAGAGTTGGGTGCTCTTTCGATTTTTCCTTTTCATTTATAAAGATTTTTAACATATCACTTGTGAGTTTTGTATTTGCCAATTAATAATATTGAGGCATCATAAATATTGTCATGTTTGCTTGTACAGATTTACTTTATTTTTAACCACCAAACATACAATTCCTTGGTATGGATGTATCTACAGTTGAGATCAGAATTACCACCATTACAGCAAAAAGCAGTAATGGCCTTATGCCAAATCTTTTTAATAGGGTTACTTGCTAGACTGAGATGATGCTGAGATGATGACTTAGTGATAAGAGCACTTGTTACACAAGTGAAGACCTCAGTTTGGATCCCAGCACTTAGGTAATGAGCCTGGCAGGTTCTCCTCACCTGTCTATGCCTAGGAAAGCTTAGCCTTATTCTAAACTCCAGCCCATCACTGTTTGGTGGGGAGAGGAGATGGGTGCTTGCTTACTTGTCAGCAGCCTCCCTGAAGAAACGGGAGTTCTAGATTCAGGGAGAGACCCTGTGGCAGAGTAATAGGAAACACTTGGCCCACATATCACAGAAACACGAAGAATTAGAAAAGCTATCTGGTTTTTGTTGTTTTGTGTGTGGGTGTGTGTGGAGGTCAGTTGTGAAAACAAAAGGCATCTTTATTTAACATTTTGATAATACCAAAACATACCATTCTTTAGTCTCCAAAAATATTTGAATTAGTATCGAAGTTTGATGAGTTGAACTAATATTTACTGAATTTTTATTTCCTTCATTGATTCTGAAATGAAGTTTACTGTTGATCCCTTGTTATGTGACTTGTTTTTTTTTTTTTTTTAAGTCCATGTAGTGTTTTATACTACGTATGAATCTAATCAAGACTTCACTCATGCTAGGCAAGTGTTCTGCCACCTCAGTCCCTATAGATAAGGTTTTTCTTCTGTTCAAGACAGGCTCTTACTTTATAGCTCTTGGTAAAATCTGCATCCTTTTCCCTCTGCCTCCTGGGTGTTAGGATTATAGATGTTCCTTACCATGTGTGGCTTTTATTTTGCTTACTTCAATTGCCGTGTCCTTATGTGTTTGTTTGTTTGTTTTTGTCATTTTCATTTATCAGCCAGAATACTGTTTGAATGTAGGAGACAAAAGTATATTAGTGTGGATTTTTGCAGTGTCAAAGATTAAATACAGGTCTTTGTTCATGTGAAGCTAGCATTTGATCTCCAAACTACATCTATAGCCTGATAAGTGGTGTGTGTGTGTTTTGCTGGAATTGGAACAGAAGACCTCTGAAGAAACGGAAGTTCTAGGTTTAGGGAGAGATCCTGTGTTAGAGGAATAATTCAGAGTAATAGAGAAGAACACTTGGCACTCATACCACAGAAACACAGAAGAATTAGAAAAGCTCTTGTCTAAACGTTTGTAAAGGTTGGTTGTGAAAACAACACACCTGAGATGTGTGCCCCCCCGAACGATAGGCTCCGTCATGTATTTGATAGTTCTATGGAATGCAGTTTTTTCTTTTTCTTTATGGATGCTCTTTTAAATCCTGGGATTCTGCAGATTAAGAGAGTGTGCCTGGCTGGGCGTGGTGGTGCATGCCTGTAATCCCAGCCCTTGGGGAGGCTGAGGCAGGCAGATCTCTGCAAGTTTGAGGCCAACCTGGTCTACAAATAGAGTCCAGGACAGCCAAGCCTACATAGAGAATCCTGTCTTAAGAAAACCAAAAGGAGCGGGGTTGGGGAGGGGGGACGACTACTAGCTGACACTCTTTAAATATACTTCTAGAATAGATAGGAAGGCTTGTTGATTTACTGGTTAGTTATAAGGGATTGTGGATGGCCAAATAGAAGAGCTGTATTAGACAAGGTTTGGGGATAAGAACCTTTCAGTCAGAATGTCATGTCTTACCAGCACTTCAGTATGCTTCCCGGTACAGAAGACGCTCTACTGCTGTGCTTCTTAGGCTGGGTATTTCAGTCATATTTCCTTTTAAAGTTGGAATAATTTTACTGGTTCTAGGAAGGACCTGCTTTGTATACCAAATTTGAGGATACTGAACTCAAAGGCATAATATGTCTATCTAACTCATTCTTTGTTCTGTTTTTGTTTTAATCTGCCCTGGTATAGTGGTAGACATCTATAGTCCCAGCGCTCAGGAAGCTGAGACGGGAATGTAGTACAAAGGCAAGCCTGGGTTACCCAGCAAGATGCTGAGTAATAAATAGACAGATTGCCTACTGGGTTGACTTAGTCAAAATCAGGTCAACCAACAGATAAGGCAAACAGAACAAAGAAGAAACCAAAGCACAATCAGAATTGTGATGTTATTACCTGATTTAGTACTAGTAGTTGAAGTACCTGATTTAGTACTAGTAGTTGAAGTTTTTAAAATGGCCTGGGGAGGTGGAGGCAGGAGGATCAGTAGTTCTAGGTCAACTTTGTTACTGGTATAAACGGTTCAAAGCCAGCCTAAGCTATTAGGGACCCTGTCTGAAAACAAAGCAAACAGCAGCAAAGTATTGTAAAATTCGTATTTTTGTAGGAATTTTTGTAAGATACGTATACTATTTTAGATGAACTGAGTGTCTTCTATTTTACTTTTCAGATAAATATTTGCAATACGTTGTACTGTTTTTAACAGCTGATCAATTGTCTTAAGCCTCCTTATTTCAATTATTATTATTATTTTTTTAATTCCTCAGGTATATTCAAGAGCAAATGACCAAGAGCCATGTGGATGGTGGCTAGCTAAAGTTCGGATGATGAAAGGAGAGGTGAGTGACTTTACCCAGGAAACACTGACTTGCTGTTACTGTCACCCCACCTCAGATACAGTTGATCAGTTGTTTCAGATTCACTGTACTGTTGATTTTAATTGAGTTTTTAAGTGCCAAACACTAAGGATTCTTTTTAGAGGTATGCCTCAAGCCTATATGACTGTCAAGGTACAAGCTTCTAAATCTGGCATATGTAAATGATACTGATAGTATAAAGGTATGCTTAGTGTTTGTACATAAAGTAAGGGAGGTTAGAACATCATCTAAAGGTCAGTACTTCAGTTCACATGAGCTTTTAAAAGAATTTTGTCTTTTAGTTTTATGTCATTGAATATGCTGCTTGTGATGCCACTTACAATGAAATAGTCACATTTGAACGACTTCGGCCTGTCAATCAAAATAAAACTGTCAAAAAAAACACCTTCTTTAAGTGCACAGTGGATGTTCCTGAGGATTTGAGAGAAGCGTAAGTAATTTCATTGAGCTGCTTATGAGCTGTTTTTCTGTCTACAAAACAAAATCATTGCTTAGTCAACCAACCAAAACAGTAAATAAGGGGCTGAGAGATGCCTCAACAGATAAGAGCACACAGTAATCTTTGATAGGACAGTGTTCAATTCCTAGCACTTAAATTGGTTGGTTCACAATCACTGGTAACTCAATTCTAGGGCATCTGACGCCTCTGGTTGGCACTGGCATTCGAGTGTGTATAACCACAAAATAATTAGAAGTAATAAAATCTTTTAAAATTTTAATGGCAGATACCAAAATGAAATATTGAGATTGCATTATACTTTTCCTAAATTTAATTCATTACTGAAGTCTGAATTAATTTTTCTTTAGGTGTGCTAATGAAAATGCCCATAAAGATTTTAAGAAAGCAGTAGGGGCCTGCAGAATTTTTTATCATCCTGAAACTACCCAGCTAATGATACTGGTAAGATAAGACTGTATTTTTAAGTTGATTAATGACCAGACTTATTATTAAGTATTTCAAAGGCTTATTAAGTTTTGTGTAAAATGAATTCACGAATTTGTGTAAGAGGCTTTTTAAAGTTTTTTTTCCCCTTGTGATTAGTTTGGTTTTTTTTTTTTTTTTTAATTTATTACACTTTATTCATTTTGTATTCCAGCTGTAGCTCCCTCCCTCTTCTATTCCTCTCCACTAGTCCACTGGTAGGGGAGATCTTCCTCTCCTTCCATGGTTTTAAAATCCCCCCTCCTTTTTTTTTTCTTCTTCTTCTTCTTCTTCTTCTTCTTCTTCTTCTTCTTCTTCTTCTTAAGCTATGTTTTCTCCTCTGTAGTAAGAAGGAAGAAATGTTTAATTTTTGGTTTGGCTGTCTTTTTGATAAAGGGTTTTTCTTGCTATACAGCCTGGCCATGACTAATAGCAGTCCTCTGGCCTCACCCTGCCATGTGTTGAGATTAAAGGTTTGCTACTACACCTGGTTTATAAGACACTTAATGACCATCATGTCATCTTGAGATTCTTAATGTGTAAAATCTTTGATTTTCCCACGAACACACTTTCTGATCAGCAGATAGGTGTAAGCGTAGGAATTTAGAAAGGAAAATAAGATTACTCTAGAGGGAGAGGTAAGAACCATGGATGGCTTCATTTAGAAGATTTCAAGTTTTCTTGAAAAAATAAATTTTTTGAGTGATTTAATATGTCTGTTTATAGTCGGCCAGTGAAGCAACTGTGAAGAGAGTAAATATCTTAAGTGATATGCATTTGCGAAGTATTCGGACGAAGTTGATGCTTATGTCCAGAAATGAAGAGGCCACTAAGCATTTAGAAGTAAGTTGGTTTGCTTTTTGTGTCCCATGTACTTTCCTGTGTCTCACACTACTGGTAGCTGAAAGCGACCTAAGACCTGAATATTTCTGGCTTATATCTAGAATCCTTAAGAAAATAGAATTTTCATTTTACTAAGTGGTGCTTAGCTTTCTTGTTGGGGCTTAGTAGATGGGTGCCAAAGAGCTTTAGAAATTAGTAATTAGGCATACCGAGAAAAAGTACTTATTATTCTTGAATCTGAATTTTACTAACCTGTCACCTGTCAGATATGACCTTAGTTTACTGCAGCAATTCATAAGTAACAGGGAAGGAGGACTAAGGATTGACATCTTACAGCATACTTTGTGTGACCTGGTGCTGCTGCTTTGTCTCTCCTTGGGCTTTCTACTTTGTCCGGCTGTTACTGCCATTCTATAAGGGTGCTTTTTCTACCTTTACTGTTTCCAGCTGAGTATATGTGCACACATACTTCATCTTGAGAAACTGAGGCATTTTCATAACTCAGAATCAAGACTGCTCTTACTCATATACAGTTCTAAGCAGAATATGAGTGAATTTTGAAACAGCCATCTGAGTTGAAGAACTGCTGGTATCTAATTCCTACCTGGACTAGAATTAAGTAGACTAAAATAATTTGCTTTTCTTCACTTTATGATGGGCTTCCTTTTTTCTGTAAGAGATTAATTACTGACCTTATTAGTTTTTTTTTTTTCTTTTGTCTTGAATTTAAAAGTACTCAAAATCTTTCCTTTTTCTTTGTTGGAAAATATATAGCTCATTAGTGTTGCCCAGTCCAGAACTTGTCATAGTATAAAACTGAAACTCTTGAAGAGCAGCTTCCTATTTTCTCTCCTTTCAGGCCTCACAAACAATTTTCAGCTTTTTTTTTTTTTTTCCTTTTTCTGAGACTGGCATGCAATTTGTGATTATTATATCACCATTCCCAGTTAAAATTTTCATACTTTAATTAAAAAAGAATTTTTTTCCCAAGTACTGAGACACATCTGAATACATTGCCTGTAGTAGGCAAGCTATCAGCACATTAAAAAAACCAAATTCCCATTCCACTCCCTAAAAACAAACCTTAGATAACTTGTATACATAAGTGCAATTAATGTTAGTGTTTTCTGTGACTGATTTATTTCTTTCAGAGTAGTAATGATAATGTTTTGGGGGTTCATTCAGGTTTTCATGTCACTTTCCTCTTTTAGGTTTGAGGCTGCATTGTGTGAATAATCCACATTTTGTTCATGCATTTTATTAGTTGGTTGACAATTTTTTTCTCTACTTTTTGGTTATATTGGGAGATGGAATGAATATAAATATATTTTTAAAGTGTTATAAATGAAAAATCCTAACTTTGCTTTTTTTGCTAGTGCACAAAACAGCTTGCAGCAGCTTTTCATGAAGAATTTGTTGTGAGAGAAGATTTAATGGGCCTGGCAATAGGAACGCATGGTAGTAATATACAACAAGCTAGAAAGGTTCCTGGAGTTACTGCCATTGAGTTAGATGAAGATACTGGAACATTTAGAATTTATGGAGAGGTAAGTTAATCTGCTTCCTGCCTTTGGTCACTTAATTTGGCATATTAGCAGTTCGTTTCATTTTTTTTTTCTGTATTTCTTTAGTAAAATGTTTTTGAAGTAAGAATTCACATAACATAATGTTTGTTTTTGAAATCTTCAGAAGTAGTCAGTGTAATATCATCAGGAGGACAGGTTTTGAACCATGCTGCCTAGAGTAGAGTCCTGTCTATGGAGTGGGCTTGGAAAGTAAACTTCTGTTGTAACATGATGGTGGTATCACCTCACCTCACAGTTCCAGTTCATGAAGATTTTTCTTTGTACCATGTTTAAGGAAGCAATGAAAGAAAGTAATGGTCCACAAAATCATTCTAGTCTGCTAAAAAAATTGTACCCATTAGAATTTAAAATTTAAGTGATCTTATCAGTGTTTTTTGTTTTTTTTTTTTTTAATGTTTCTCTGGACAAGCAGAGCAACTTTGTCTTCAGGCAGGGTTTTACAAGCTAGCCTCACTTGCCAGTGATCCTTTCCCTCCTGTTTTCAGAATGCAGGTCAAAGCTGCTATGCTCCCATGTCCAAATAGGAACTTTTAAAATCTTTTGTGTTTTGGGGTGCAGAGAACTCAGGGCTTTTGCACAGGGCAGGCAAATAGTTACTGCTAAGTTATTTAAGAAAGGATGTGACCTGAATTGTCAGTAGGCTGAGCAGAACCTTGTGCCACAGCATTACAATTGAGAATTTTCTCCCTTTTCATATATTACAGGTTTGGGGTTGTTCTAGAATGTTAACAGGAGTTTTGTTTTTTGTTTGTTTTTCCTCCATCCATCCAGAGTGCCGAAGCTGTAAAAAAAGCTAGAGGTTTCTTGGAATTTGTGGAGGATTTTATTCAAGTTCCCAGGAATCTTGTTGGTAGGTACTTGTATAAAAGTTAAGTGTGAATATTATCAATGTAAATTAATTTATTTGGATGTTTTATAATCTGCTTACCTTAGTGAAATGTGTAATGTAAGCTTGTTAGAAGCAAGTTCTTGTTTTTTTGTGATAACATTTTATGTGACTTGTACCTTTGTTTTCATGCCTAGAAAGTAAGATGTATTTGTTTTATGCCGTTAATAATTTATGTGATGATTTGTTGCTAAAGTGTTTTTTGTTTTTTTTTTTAAGTCTTATCTTTTGGACTCTTTCCTATATCTTGTTTAATGTTTTTTTTTTCCTTCATTTATATGTTCACCAAAATTTTGATAGTAAAGTCTTAAGGTGTTGGTGATAATTTTTTTCTTTTGTTTAGAGTGGAAATAAAAGTAAATCGGGGCTAACAATAGAGTAATAAACTTCTTTCTACATAGTTGGCCCTGAATAAATAATTGGTTGTGGCAAAAGCATAGAATAAGGTAAGAAGTCTTGGGGAGGAGAAAGGATGGTGATAGGGGAGCTTATACTGTTTATCACCATCAGTGACAATTAACTGTTTTATAAGTTACAAGTTAAATGACATTTTTTAAGTTTGCTGAGGTTAAATGTTCATTCAACCTGCTGTTGATGTACGCTTTGTCTTTCTTTCTGTGTCTTTGAGAAGGATCATACCCTAAATCCAGGGCCTCATGTGTGGTAGCAAGTGCTGTACTACTGAACTATCCTATGCCTCTGTATGTCTCTTTCGGGTGCTTCTTGATGCAGATAGGATGGCTTTGGGTATATGTTAAGTACTTAGTGATTCCCCAAAAAAGGAAATGTAAAGTTAAGTACTAACATCATATGGTGGAATTTACTGGCAAGTCATGTAGTTTTGTTTCCTTTGTTTTTGACCCTTAGGAATTTCTTTGAGCCCTTTGGGTTCCATTAGAAGGTAATTAACTGTCTATGCATGTGTAATTTCTCACATTCTGTAGAATAAAATGGGAAAAGATTGAAAACACTATTGCTCTGTGGACGAAGGACTTCGTCTGCATCTGCATAAAAGCCTGTTGTAACAGAGTCCATCTGAAACCCTGGTGCGGCAGGGAGGTGGATCCTAGGGATTTAATGAGCAGTTAGTCACCCTGGGAAGAAATGGATTCCAGCTTAAGTGAGAGATCCTGTCTCAGTAAACAAACAGACAATTATAATAATAAAAAGGCAGGGACAGATATAGGAAAACACCCAAAATTGACCATTGGCTTTGAAATGGGGATTTGTTGCAGAAAAATTGTTTCTTGTAGTTCAGCTATTAACACTTATGTAGAAGGCTTTTGAGGACATGTAGATAAGTATGATATATCGCCAGTAATGCAAACTCTATTATTAGTTATTGGTATGTCTTTATTCACTGCATAATGAATTACTAGAGAGTTGAGTTCAGATAGTAAATTGAAGAGTGTTGTATAATTTTAATAAACATGAAAGTACAAAACGTCATTAAATTATCATTGGAAATAAGAGCTGCTTTTGAGTTTTTAAAAATTGGTGTATAGGTATGCTTGAGCACACTCATGGGATCTCTGTGTGGGTGGAGGTCAGTGAGTTACTTCTGCTTGTATTTCAACATGAGTTTTTGTGATCAAATTCAGGTTGCCAGACTTGTGTGGCAAGTATCTTTGCCTGCTGAAACAACTTGAGGTCCTGCTTAAGTTTACTATCTTATATCTCATTCATTCATAAATTGATTCCTTCATTCATCTATTCATCCATTCATTCATTTTATCCTCATTCTTCTTGTACTAGGGTTTGAACCCAGGGCCTTGCCCCTGCTAGGTAGGTCTTCTACCACTGAACCATACCTTAGCCAAAAGAGCTACTTTGAAATGTTTCTTTTGTTCTTTTAAGTCAAATATTTACAGGGGTGAAGTGAGAAGACTTTGGTAACTGTTCAACAGAATATCACTTAACTGAACTAAGGCTTCTTCACTTTTAAAAAAAAGGTGTTGGTGGTAGTTTTTTAAAAAGGAAATAAAGTTTTATTCAGTTTAATTCTCCAGAGATAAACCTTGGTCTTTCAGACCAAATATTTTACTGTAATAGAATTAATCATGGAAAAAAAATTCCTGGTTTTTCAGAAATCAAAAAATTGGATGCATTTGTCCCTCTGGTTCTTCATCTAGTTATCAGGGCATTGAGGGGAATCCATGCTATGTATCTTGTCTGCTATCCTGTCTTGTCTGGCTTTTGTGATTTGAATTGCTTATGTGCTCTTTAGAAAGGATACATTAGCAGGAGCAACTTCACAGTGGTGAAAGTCTGGCCATTTCTGTTGCTTGTCATGTATAGTAATAACATATATCTCTCCAAAGTATTTCATGGATTAAGCAGTCTTTTGAAAAGTATGTTCTTAATCCAAATGAAAGAAAAGGAGACGTGAGGAATAAAAGGGAATGAGGACCACTTGGTGGGTAAGTTCTAGAGAGGATGGATTGCCTTACATGTTTGAGGCATTCTAGTATTTGATCATTCCCACCTGTCCAAAATCAAAGAAAAAAAGTATTTCTTGAACACTGAAAATGGATCAAAACCATTCACCTCTTAGAAGAAGCTGCCTTTAATCACTTCTTAACTTTGTCCCTTCCAACATTTTATACTCAATGCTCAATTTATACTACAGGTCTGCTTCAGTTTGTCAATATGCTCTGGAATTTAAACTGTGGAAATGATCATTTAAAATATTGAAGGTCTCTGGTGGTACTAAGTAAGACTTGAAGGTAGGTCCCTGCCAAGGACCCAGAAGGGCGATGGATGCTTAACTCACCACTGCTGTAGTTCCAAGAAGCAAGGGAAAAAGAAGGAACGGTTCTATGTCCCATCAACCTCCATTTGTTTTCTGAAAAGACATTTGCTTATTTTCAGCAGGGTGGAAGATGAAGCTGCTGCTTAAGTGTCATTGTATAATTGTGAAAGTTGCTTCGTGCTGCTTTTAGGGCTTCTCTGAGAAGACAGTCGTCTGAATTCTGATATCTGTTTTAACCTGTTCAATTGTGCTCTTTCAATTGAGGCTTATTGAGGGGGAAGGGGTTTGAGACTAGGAATAAAGGATTGAAAAAAATCCTGTTAGAATGTTTGCACTTTATTACCCAGTTGACTTAGTGATTTGAATCACTTAGGTATAGTATAAATGAGTAGGAGCAACTTCAGTGGCATTGTGTTTTATGTAGTGGAAACTTTTTTCAATCACACAACATAACTTTATTCTTTTCAAGCTTTTCTGAAAACGTCTTAGTGGACTTGATAACATGCTAGGCTTCTGTACTTAATAAGGGATATTTCTGTTATTTGCATGCCAAGAGTATACCAGATACTTTGAGTTACACGTTGATTCTTCAGGTTGATCTTTGTAATAGGGAAAGAGTATCTCCGTATTCCCTTTGGAATTTTTCTTTTAAGTATTGTATGTTCTGTAACTGCTGTTTGAGAGAGTGACAGGTTAAGTATGAGGAAGGATGAGTTTTGTATTATTTTACAGTATGTCATACTTAGCATGGCAGTGAGGATATACATGTTATGTGCAGTTACATAAAACTATAAAGTACTTAACACTTGGTGTGCAATGTAGTATTTTCGTTTGTAAGAATATACGTGTGTGGATGTGTATATACATACATTAGTGAGATGAACAAAATGACTTGGTTAATCCTAAATAAAATTGTTTTTTTCTTATGTTCCATGGACATGGGTTTGAAATGGATTGGAGTTGATATTTTAAAGTGTTAGAAATGCTTCTAATGCTTAAAAATGTGTAGGCTTGGAAAATTTCTAGCATGTGAATTACATTGGTCTGCTGCAATCAATAGGCTTTATGCATATGCCAGACAATAGGATAAAGCTTCTCAGCAGTCTTGAGGTGAGGTCATTAAAAGTAAAAAGAGTCGTCTTTGCTTGGTGTTACCATTTGATAGGAAAGTCATAAATAATCTAGATTGGTACTGGCTGGATAACAAATAGTTTTTAACTTGTTTTCTTTTACTAAAGGAAAAGTTATTGGAAAAAATGGCAAAGTTATTCAAGAAATAGTGGATAAATCTGGTGTGGTTCGGGTAAGAATCGAAGGAGACAATGAAAATAAACTACCTAGAGAAGATGTAAGTGTTTAATGCAATTTATTTGCTTATTTTATGCTATCTTCTTGGTTAGTTTCCTCTCCCTTTCAGCTAAGCTGCACACTAGCCACCGCCATTTTGGAAGTCCCTCTTGGTTAGTTTCCAAGACTGAATATTTTTGTGTTTGAAAATTTTGTTTCTTTGGACTCCTATTTTACACGCTTAGACAATAAATCATCTTTCAGGTTTTGTGGACTGTGGCTTTTTAATTGGTCTGTCAGTACTTAAGTGAGTCCTTATAAAAGTTTCAGTTTGAAATCTTGCTCTTTTTGTCTCCCTCTTTTTAAGATTTATTTTTGTTGTGAGTGTTCTGCCTGTATGTATCCATGTGCACTATGTATATGGTTGGTGCTTGTGGGGGTCAGAAGGCGTTGGACCCATAATGGCTGCTAGCTGTCTTGTGGGTGTTGGGAACCAAACCGAGGTCCTTGGCAAGAAAAACTAGTCTTAACCACTGAGCAGTCATCCAACCCCATTTTAGATCATTTTTACTCTTGAGTATAAAGCTGGCTGTAGAATTTTATGCTCAAGGAAGCAGTCCAGAAGCAATTCTTGACGCTCCTTGGCCTTTTTGTAGAATCTAAAAGCATTGGCCATTTCTTGATTGGGATGTGTTTTGATTTCATGTTGCTGTTCTGCTGTCCTGAATGAAGAAGTCTCTTTTCATGTTGATATTTTGCAAAAAATTCTGTTGTTAATTGCTTACACCCTAAGGCGGGTTCAGTGATCAACTTGGTATAGCTGATTTGGGGCTTTTAAGCCTAAAAATAAACTTCCTAAAATAGTCAACCAGAATTTAAGACACTACAACTCCGTCAGTTTTGTGCACTATTTGGAGAATTTGCTAATGCTTGGAAAGAATCAGTCTTTTAAGAGAGAAAGGTTGTAGACCCAGATCAGTGTCTCAACACCAAGTATTGCGTAACCCAAGATTTTTTTGTATTAGAATATGGAGTTGAGATACACTTAAAAATGAATTTATTTAATTGCTGTACATTGATTTTACAAGTTTCAGAATACTTTTTTCATCACACTTTTAAAATGTGTTGTATCCTATACCTTCTGATTGTTTTGTATTGTTTTTAGGATGCCTTTCAGATAAGGATTAAAACTGATGTCCGATATTGTAATTTTCATGCTTCTGATATACCTAGTAAACAACAATATACCAATCTGATCTCAAGGCTGTGATAGTTGGAACTACTAAATAGCTCAAATACAATTTGTTCTTTGAGCCAGGGTTTCTCTGTCTGACAGAGCCCTGGCTGTCCTGGAACTCACTCTGTAGACCAGGCTGGCCTCAAACTCAAGAGATCCACCCGCTGAGTGCTGATATTAAAGGTGTGTACCACCACACACAAGTACAACTTTTTAAGTTGATACTCAGAGCTAGTCTTTTGGCTTGTCTTGTTCCCACCAGCTTTTTAATATTCCCATTTCAGTGTAAGTTTGTTCTTCTTGGTGGGTTCTCCTTAATGTAAAGAAATTAAACTGTGTTGACTTGGCCATTACTACTGTTTTTGGGCCAGGGTTAAGAAACATAAAAACAAACCTGTCATCAAGAAACATAAATACAGCCTGTAATTACAGCACATGCCTGTAATCCCAACACCCAGGGAGGCAGAATCAGGTGGATCTTTGAGTTTGAGTCCAGGATAGTGAAGGATACACAGAGAAACCCTGTCCCAAGAAACAAAACAAAAACATCATTCCCCCATCCAAAAATAAATATACACATCACAGGTTGTCTGTGTAAGATGGAGAGGAGACTGCTCCTTTATGTCTACACAAGCTGCCTGGGTGTACCTACCTGTTTTATGGGGGTGCCTATCTCATATGCTGCTCTAATAATAAAGATTTTTGGTTTAAAAATTTTTGTGGGGTTAGGGCAGGTAACATGGTTCACAGTATATAAGTACACAAGCCTGATGACCTCGGTTCCATCCTTGGAACCTATGTAAAGATGGAAAACAATTTCACAGATTATACCTATCCACCCACTCCAGCAAGCTCTGCATTTCCTCTTACCTGATTTCTGAGGATATTATTTATCTTTATGGTTGAAATTACAATTGGTGGAGTTTTGTGTGATGGAGGTTTCACAGCTGTCCTGGTGTGTGTCTACCTGCTAGAACTTGTAACAGGTTACTTTGAAAATATATTCATATTTAAAATCAAGGTGTTGAGATAGGCTATTTAAAAAAACTTTGGAGGTATTTTTTGAGAGGAGAAATGGAAACTGGCAGGGAGTTTAGGCTTTCCTATTAATTATTTTATTTATTTATTTATTTTTAGCTAGTAGAAAGCCGAAGTATGTTTATAAGAAAATCTTGACCAAGCCACCTTGGTTTGCTTTTTAAAAATAAGATAGTCTGTATGTGTGTGTACCCTCTGTGTGACTGTTGCCCTTGAGATCAGAAGAGTGCATCAAATCCCCAGTTAAATATAATTGTAAACTTCCATGTGGGCACTGGACCGGGGGTCCACTGCAAGAGCAATAAGTACTCTTTAACAGTTGAGTCTCTATCCTCTTTCACTCTACTTTTTAAAGCCTCTATGTTCTGAAATATAACCAAATAAACAACAGTCTAGTCTGGGATAATTGGTTTTGTTTTGTTTTTGTAAGTTGGTGTATACTCTTCAGTGATTTTGTTATTTTTACGTTGTGTAAATAATAATGCTCTATAGTCAAATATATTTTTTCCATTTGTGTATATGTGCGAGTTTGCACCCATACATGTGTGCATACAAAAACACATGCCCATTTGCCACAGATTGTGTGTAGGGGTGCAGAAGCAGTTTCTGTTCTACCATGTGGGTTCCATGGATCAAACTCACCTAGGCCATTGGTCTTGGTGGGGAGTGTCCTTCTCCACTGAGCCGTTTCACCAGCCCTGGGAATGTCTTTTAATGGTCTGAAATAAATACACACTAATTATTATTATTATATTTTTTTAAAATTTAGATACAGAGTTCTTATCCTATTGTTTTATATAGAGCTAATAATGACCCCCTCCCCCGTTGCTTCAGCCTCCAAGTGCTGAAATTACAGGCGTGTACCACTATGGTCTTATCTGAGCATTTATTATGGGGATAACTTGTCTAATATGTGTTTGACTCCCCCACCCCCCTTTTCTTTTTAAGTATTTTTTAAAGCTGTGTCGACTATGATAGTTTTCTTAGTCTAAAATGACTATGGTTGGTTTCAGTGTTTTGAAAAATTCGTTTGTATTCTCAGGACATTAGATTGATTATAAACCAGAAAACTACTTTAAAAAAAAAACAATTTGAAATGTAAATTTTAACACAAACAAGCTTCTGGAAATCTCTGCTTTTTTTTTTTTTTAGATTAATATCTGTCATAGAAAAACTTCCCAAGTTCTATATAGTGTCTTAAATTGAGGACATTATGCTTTCTTATAGGGAATGGTTCCATTTGTATTTGTCGGCACTAAAGAGAGTATTGGAAATGTACAAGTTCTTCTAGAGTATCACATTGCTTACTTAAAGGTATGTATACAGTTCACAGCGCATTCATGTATCATCCATCCCTGCTGCCTTTACTGTGTGAATGTGCTATACTTAACTGTAAATCAGGTGTCTACATGTTGAACGTGGTTATGATAATATTCGTGTATTTAAATATTTTTAATTTACTTAAGTTTTGCCTGATTTTGTTAAGTTCTTTGCCCTTACACTTTGGTGGGGGCAGTGTTCTGAATGAGCTTTTAAGGTTTTTTTGTTTTTGTTTTTTGAGACAGGATTTCTCTGTATAGCCTTGGCTGTCCTATACTTACTTTTTAGATCAGGCTGGCCTAGAACTCAGAGATACACCTGCCTTTGCCTATCAATCGCTGGGATTTAAAGGTGTGAGCCACCATGTCCAGCAACATAACAAGTTCAGTGCCATTGTTAAGGTTCTTAAAAAAACTATTCTTCAGGTTTGTAGAGTTAGTCATTAATTACAATAGCTGTAGGCTCTTTACTAGGGCCATTTTGTTTCTGGCTTTCAAATTTTAGCCATCTGCACACAGGTGAAATTGGGTCTCTTTGATAACTGATATTTGAGTCAGCTGCCTTGTCTCCAATTGTTTTTTCAATTCTGAGGGAGGGGTGAATTGAAGCCAAGTGCACGGTAACCAAAACAGGAATCAGCTTCTGAGCTCTACCCTCAGCCCCATCTTTTAGTTGAATTGAAACATAATGCACAAGGACATGTAGAAAAAGGATTGCCTGTTAGTAAGCATCATGGTTGTTTGTTGGTTTTGTTGTTTTCATTTCTTCTTTTGTTGTTGTTGTTGTTGTTCATAGTAATATCCTAGACTGCTCTCTGTTTCTAGTATATTTTTCTTTCACTCCCTGATATCATTGTTGTACTAGTACTTTTTTTTAAAGTAGTTGAATGTATTTTAATAGGAAACTTACAGGAACAGAACAGAAGACAGACAACATTAAAAACATGTACTTGCATGTAGATCAACTCAGAAAAGTATAGTGAATGGATGGAATCTACAGTATGTTAAAAATGTACAAACACTATTTAGTTTTTGTCAACAAGAAATTTACTTATTTTCTAAAAATTCAAATTCTAGGATTGTCCAGAAATTTTTAACAGGTTTATTTATACTTTGTTATAAAGTTGAACTGTTGAAGTGTGTTCACTGAAGCATTTTGCTTGCATTAATGCTTACATCCTGCATTTATATTAAAAATTCACACACAAATGAAAATGGAAAACTGCCAATAACCCAATATCTGTCCCGTATTTTTCCATTCACAGTCATATACTTAGGTATCTTTTGACCCCATGGGAAAATTCAGAACTACTGATAACAGGAAGAAGAGGGAATTTTTTTTTTTTTTTTAATTGAAATGTTTCCCCTCAGTGGACTCTTAAGCACAATCTTTGCATATGCAGCATGCTCGCTGGATAAAGCATATCATTTATTTGAATTCTGTCAGTCCTGGCCTTAAAAGCAAATGCTGCTTTATCTTCTGTATTCTAACTTCCAGCCAGTAGCATCATTTAAATGGGTTATCTTCACATGTTACCGAACATCAGTTTCTCATGATGAAGTCTGCTTGTCCATCTCAGTTATTAAGAATTAAAGATGTTGCTAATCTGATAGCAACATTAATAATACCTGTAACAGAATACTAACTGCCGGTTTAAAGAGACAGTATCGGGCCAGTGAGTTGGCTTAGTGCTTAAAGGTGTATGCAGCCAAGCTTTATGACCCACATTGTAAGAGAGAATCAACTACTTCAAGTTGTAGTTAGATCTCCATGGTCACTTGCTGGCATACACCCTTACGTGTGCATGCACACACAAACACATAAAGGACAGTATTTGCTAATATTAAATACCAGTGTAATAGATAGGTTAAGTCTGATCTAGTTACTTGAAAGAAAAGTGTGTATACTGTGCTTAAAACAATGACTTTCTGAATGCAGTTCTGCTTTATGAGATGATTTCAAAGATCACAGTTTGTTCTTTGGTAGATTGTACAGTTCTAGCTCTAGGCCAAAACAAACACGTATCAAACCTTTATAGGACTTGGGCTGGGGAAGATGGGTCAGTGGGTAAAGGTGTTAACTTCTGGTCTCATATGGTCAGATACTGTACATGCACACCCACACAAAGAGCAGACATGATTTTTTGTTTTGATTGTAGGAAGTGGAACAACTAAGAATGGAACGCCTGCAGATTGATGAACAGCTGCGACAGATTGGTATGGGTTTCAGACCTTCTTCCACCAGAGGGCCTGAAAAAGAGAAAGGATATGCCACTGATGAAAGTACCGTCTCTTCTATACAAGGTTCTAGGTCTTATAGTGGAAGAGGCAGAGGTCGTCGGGGCCCCAATTACACCTCCGGTTATGGTAAAGACAGCACTGTTTTATTTCTCTAATAGAGTGTAGTAGTGGTTCTAGTTTAGATGCTGTGTGCATTTTGTTTGTATTAGATCTAGTTTGTTTTTCGAGGGTGAAAGTTATTTCTGAGGTGTATGTCCTGTTGTGACATACTAGTGAAAGGTATATAGTTAACACATAATATAAAAGCATAATTTTTTTAGCTGGTAGTTTATACCGAGTATGTAAAGAGTGCATAGGTTTATGGTTTGTGTTCCAACTAATGTGGTTTCATGCATTTCCTGTAGAATCCTGGTATGGTACTGCTACCTCTTAAGAAAAGCACAAATGAAAAATAAACTGATCACTAGGTCAGCATTTCATATAATAAATCTTCAGCAGCTTTAAAATAAACTTTGCTGACTTGGCAGGTTTGAGTGTTTTACTATTTTGTGTGTAACTGTTTTGTGGAATACATGTCTTGAAAATGAAGGTTTAAAAAGATAGTTTTATAATTTAACCTTTTATAATTAATATTTTTATAAGCTATATTTTCACTTTGAAGCTGGGGCCTAAGGTAGAACAGAACAGTGGATCCTGTGGCAGTTAACAATTCTCTAATCTTAAATTCTCGTTTATTCTTGTTTAGCTTTGAAGTTGTTCCATCTTTCTTCATTTGGATTTGGATATTAGCAGTGACCTGATCCTCCTGCCCATCCCTCTTCATTTCCTTTCTCTGTTCTTTTCATCTTTTCTCCCTGTGTTCATCTTGTTGTGAGGAAATACTTGTGAAACAAGGCCAAAATAGGAAGCATTTTTCAGAAAGTAGAGATGAATGCAGGTTTGCACCATGCAGGTTCAGATTTAGACTTCTTGTTTAAGGAATCTAACGATGTAGTTTACTGGTACTGTCTTTCATTTGTTGTACAGTGGGAAGGCTAAATATCCCCCCCCCCTTTTAAGCATTGTAACCTTATGTTCAAGTATCTCATTTTCTTGATAGATTTTCATTTTCATAAACATTTACTTGAAGTTTGCAAGTAAAATTCCGATTAAAATATAGAGTGTTGAGGTGTAAAACTATGTAAGAATTGTAAGGTAATATGTTTCCAAAATTATATTGAGTTCTAGTAATTAAAAAGAAACCATATATTTGCATTTTTAATCCTAAATTAACATTCTGGTATGGCTTTTTTATGTCATGAGTAGAAAAAGCCATTGAACAGTTTGATTAGTGTCTGAGACCTGTTTTTTTGATGAGGGAAGCACTCTGGTAAGATGATGGAGTAGATATTAATATATGGAAAAATGGCAAAGGAAATCATCTGGATTGGGAAACTATATACATCCTTCAGTATGGCAGACTTTATTTTGTGGAAGCAGAGACATTGTATTTTTGAAGTAACCTGAGAAAAAAGACCATTTGGATTTAATTACAGATGTTCTTGAGCACTTACAAAATGACTAGTCCGTAATAACATTCTGAAAGAAGTTCTTACTAGAACATTTCTAAATTTGTGCTGAATTTAGTGTGAATCTTAGAAGTTTATCATACCTTGGTTATAATAAAACACTTTTAATGTAAACTTTTATCACATGCCATTTAAAATTATGGGAACCCTCTTGATAAGAGTAGTAAAAGTTGTAAAGAAAAGCCTGATTATGAAATTTGACTGAAAACAAGTTGTAATTATGAATGTCATGGCTCATTTTTAAAAGCTTTTCTGGGATTTCTTTCCTTGTATTGTTCCTGTACTTTACAAGATTGAGATCTTGAAATGGCTGTTTTCTTTTCAGCAGTGCAAATTAGTAGCTTTTAGCAGCCTAGAGATGTGACCATCACAGCCTTATCACTGTAAAGCTATTTTCTCACTGGGCTAACCTCTTACACATCACCTGGACTGCCAGGTTGTTTTGATTTTAAAGTTTGATAGAATCTGCTAGCTTGACATTTCCAGGCTTATGACTGCCTGCCTCTGTTTTTAAAATGCCAGTGACTACAGAGTCCTCTTCCTGTCATCTTTGACATGAAGAAGATTTTTATGCATGAAGAGGATTTAAAGACCCATGAAATAGTTTGGGCCCACCTATATATTTAAGGACACTCTTCTCTTTCTCTGATGTGGCCTTATCTTTGACTTTGTTACACGGATATTAGCCAGTTCGTCAACTGTTTTTTTGTGTGTGATGTTTGTCCCACAAAATAATGAATTTAGGTTAAGTTTATGGAGTAACTTCCTTCCTTGCTTTTATTCCTGGTAAGGTAAAATAGTTTACTAGGCTTAATTACCTTTACATTTTAGCACAGACTTGCTTCATTTTTCATGAGATGACAGTTGCCTACATTTCAGCAGTTAAGTAGTCAGTTAAAGTGTTCTTGGCATTTGGACAAATAATTGTTAAATGGGTACTTTATTCTCTTCTTTGAGTTCTCATTCCTAATGACACTTGAGTGAAAACATTTTTTTTTTCCTAAACTTTCTCTCTCCCCCATTTTTTCATGTTTTTCTCTGCAATTTGTATTGGAAGAGTTCCCTGCATAATATCAGTTCTGTTTTAGTGTCTAAGGAACACTAATGTTTTACTACTACTGTTAAATGCTCATGGAATTTAAATATGACTGAATTTTCGGTATTTGATGAAATCTAATTTGGGAGTTAATTATTAAACTTCAAAATAATGTAACCAACTCATTCATCAAAAGGAAATTTCTGCACATGACACATTTGGGACACCAATAAGATTTAAGCTTTACCTTTTAACAGACCATTTCATTGTAGATCTATAGAGGGAAATGGTGGTATGATAGACAGGCAGTATTTTCAGTGAAATAAGAGAAGGGGAAGAGTTTTGTTTTTAATTGTACATTTAGGAATGAACATCTGGAGGAGATAGTCATGTGAATTTCATTTTAGTGGTCACATATTCTGTTCTATTAGTTGTTAATTAGAAACATTAACATGCTAATCTGAGACAGTAGTAAAACGTTTTATATATTTTAACTGACAAATAAACTCCCAGCTTTAGGAAAGATTATCAGTTCTAAGAATAATAAAAACACTATTGCTTAAAACTTAGTTGTTGTTGTTTTTTTTTTTAATGATTAAATTAATTTTTGGATGTTGAGTAACATTTATTTTACTGATGATTTAAGCTGTCAGTTTAAAAACAGGCAGAAAGCTTTATAGTAAGTACATTTTCATGGTGTATATTTTCTCATTCAGTTGAGTCTGATAATTCATTTTAGATTAGTATGCTTATTTAATGATGCTTAACACACAATGTTTTAAAAATTTTAAGCATTTCTGTTTATATGCACCTAATTGGCTTACATACTGTTTTTCTTCCTGCAAGGTACAAATTCTGAGCTGTCTAACCCCTCCGAAACAGAATCTGAGCGTAAAGATGAGCTGAGTGATTGGTCATTGGCAGGAGAAGATGATCGAGAGACTCGACATCAGCGAGACAGCAGGAGACGCCCAGGAGGAAGAGGCAGAAGTGTTTCTGGGGGTCGAGGTCGTGGTGGACCACGAGGTGGCAAATCCTCCATCAGTTCTGGTAGTCTCTTACGTACTACGTCAGCATTCATGCTTTGTAAACATTATAACCTACAAGAATTACTTCCTCTCCCAGAGCCATACATTTTTGGAAGTTTGTGATTCTGCTTACTGTCTTGGAGGAAATAGTAGATTGTATAGTGGTTAATAAAGGAAACATTGTAGACTAATGCCCGGGGAAGGTGTCTTAGGAATATGTAGGTCAGAACTTTAAATTGGCTGCTTTCTTTCTTCTGCTTTGAGAATCATATTTATCTCCTCATTTTGGGACCTTTGGTAATTAAGTAATGTTTTCTTAAGAATTAATTTGCTACAGTTTGAGAGCAGAGAATCTGTGGACTTAATTCTTAAGAAAACTATATTTGAGTAGTTGAACTACAAAATAAAGAGGAATATAGAAGGACTCCAAAGGTGGCTCAGCAATTAAGAACAGTTGATGCTATATTTATTCTAGAGTAGGAAGTTAAGCTGCTAGCACCCACTGTGGGGCTGCTCACAACCCTATAACTCTAGCTGCAGGGGATCTTGATTCTCTCTTGTGGCCTATGTGGGCATCTGCACATGTGCGTGGACACATCACATGATCATAGATACAGTGTAGAGACGACTAAAGACTTCATATGCTCAAGCATCTGTTGGCTGTAGTCATATGACTATTTATTATTATTATTATTCTGGAGTAGAAATTGTACTCTTTCTGAGTAGAATGAGCAAGATGGTAGGGTTTCTAAAACTGGGATATTTAGACTAGATTATTTTAAAGCATTGCATATTAGCATTATTACTTTTATATCCTTTAAGAAGGTCATACATAATATTTATGATGATTAAATGTCTTATTTAAAATACTACTTTAAATTTTAGAGTAGTCTTTGTATATTAAAAATACATGTTAATGTACAAACATTGGAACAAAACAGCATAAAAGTAAAGAGAAGTTTTAAGCTCTGATTGGAATACAATTTTTATTGGTCCCTAAGTTTAGTTTTATTTAGGAAATTTTAACTTACTTTTTTCAGGAAAGTAATTTTTGTATTAAAATGCACTGTATACTGTTACTATTATAATTATATTTTGTGGAACTGCAAAAAAAATATTGTACCTAATGTTTATGAGTAATAGATAAACTTAGTATCTTTTGCAAAGAATAGCTTGCTAGCTGGTATCAAAGGAAACTTAAGAGTAACCGTGCTTAGGTGAATGTCTTCTGCATTTTGAATGTTGGAAGCAGTAGATGCACATAGGTAAGACGGGTGCTTTTCTTTTCATTTGTATCCTGAAACTGTTTTTCTAACTTCACTCCATGCTTTGTTTTTAGAGTTGGAACACAAGTTAATGTGTTTGAACAGTGTCCTCTTCTTAACCAGTTACAATTTTAGGCTGACTTAGTTTATGCTTGTGAAGACTTGTTTTGGTTGCCTCAGTTCATAGTTAACTGATTTTTCTTA